AAAGAACATAATTCATATCTTTTGAATACCAGGAGCACAAGCTTAATGAATTTAATATAATATTGTATCTTCTCTTTAATCTTGTCAAAAATGGCATCCCACCAGTATTAAAGTCATGGGCCAAATTTATTGGTTTAGCAAAAATGTGGGGTTGTCAGTCATCTGTCTCTTTCACAAAAAGCAAACCAATATTCAGCCATATTATTTCACCAGGAATTCCTGTATTTTGTATTTGTAGACTACTTCAGTGACATTTGCAGAACTATCAAAGTGACAAATCTTAAGAACCTTTCAGAGAACACTGGCCTACTTTTTTAAAAAATATATTTTTTAGAGGTTTTAGGTTTACATAAAAAATGAGAAGTTAGAGATTTTCCATATTTCCCCTCCCCCTACACATGCACAGCCTCTCCATTATCAACATCCCCACCAGAATGGTTCATTTATTATAACTGATGAACCTACACTGACACATCATTATCACCTAAAGTCCATGTTTTACATTAGGGTCGCTCTCAGTGGTGTACGTTCTACAGAATTGGACAAATGCACAATGACATGTTTCCCCATCATAGTATCATAAAGAGTAGTTTCACAGCCCTAAACACCCTCCATGCCTTGCCTATTCATCCCTTCCTCTCTTGGACCGCTGGCACCACTGATTTTTTTACTGTCTCCAAAGTTTTTTGGTCTACTTTTTAATAATACATATTACTTGGTGGGACTCACAAGAATGTTTATTGGCCCCTTTTCAATCTTGTGTTACATATGACCTTTTCATTATGTATACAAGGGAAGGGGGAGGTAAAGGGAGTTTTGTTTTTTAAAGCAAATCCTAACATCAGATGTGAAATCTACACAGCTGTAAGCATTCTTCTGGGAACCTGAACTGGGGTTCATCTCAACGGCTTAATGCAATTACCTAAACCAGTCATGTAGTATTAATGTAATTTGCCCATTTCTACAGCTGAAAAGAAGTTCAATCTTTAAAAAGTGAGTAAAAAGGAAAAACTTGCAGCCCCACAATTCCCCTACCTTGGAATCAAGTAATAATTAGCTCACCTGTTTATTCTCAAAAATCTACCAACTCCCAGTTAACTATTAACCTTAGAAATTTTAGTCATATGATGAACTGATATTAACCTAATGAATAGGCAGGTATACGTATAAAGGCATTCCTATCTGTCTTCACAGAACAAGTCAAATCAAGTGATCTATCTACAATACAAAACCGATCATCCACCTCTGTGCTTGAAATTTAACAGTAGTTCCTCAGCCTGCAGAACAAATTCTAAACATACAAGGCCCTTAAATATCTGTTTCTACTTACCTCTTGAGTCTCACTGCTCACCATCCTCCCCCCAAGCATAAAACTCAACCTTCCAGCTCTACTGAATTCCCTGAACCTATCAAGGTCTCTCATCAATGAGCTATTTCCTCTGCCTGCAGCACACATCCCTTCCTTTTTTGCCTAGGTAATTTCTAGATATTCTTCAGCTCTCAGCTTAGAAGGTCATTCCTCTAAATAGAATTGTCCTGGCTCCTCCAGTCTAGGTTAGATACTATTCCAAAGTGTTCTCATAGTCCCTGGCATTTGCTTGCTCCATCACAGCCCTACTTAAACAAGGAATTACAACTAAGCATGACTGTCTACACCCCTCGCTAGACCAAAAGATCATTAATGACAGAAACTGAGAAGTAGATCTGTCTCATGCATTACTGCATCTCCAACATCTAATACAGCATCTGACACAAAGCAAAAACTCAAAATATATTAAAAGACTGACTGAATAAATAATTTTGATATTACTATTCAGAGTTTTGAGGGTGAAAGTGCAAAGCTTATCTATCAACTTCCTCAGTGAAAACTGGTCACATTCTAGTTCAGTTTAAGTCAGCAAATATTTACTGCCTAGCCACATAAGAATCAAAAAGAATATAAGCCGGAGTCAAATCCTCAAGCAACACAGATTTTAAGAGAGAAAATAAGACACATACAAACATGAAAATTAAACATCAAAGAACAGTGTGTTATTAGATTCTAAAGTGCCAAAGAAGAGGTAAGGATTGGGAAAGAATCCTAGATGTAGGATTTGAGCTCAGCCTTAATGGATAAGTAAGGCTGAAAACAGAAAACATAAAGACAGATGTGCTAGAGTTCAGCAGTTCTCAAAGTGGGATGGAAGATACCCTCCTTTCAGGGGTACTTAAGGTCAAAAGTATTTTCATAATAAGCGTAAGATGTTAGTTTTTTTTTTTTTTTTTTTACTTTCAATCACTCTCATACATACAATGCAGTTTACAATGCAGTTTACAGGACATGTGATATCACAATAGATTGAATGCAGAAGCAGACATGACAATCCGGCTGTTTTCTAAGCCAGACATTAGAGATTTGTAAAAATGTAAAACAATGCCACTCATTAAATTTTTTTGTTTTGAAAAATAGGTATCTTTCGTAAAAATATGGTATTTGTGTTAACATGTCATGGAATTATTTTTCAATGAATATTTTTTTTTCTTTTTCTTTTTTCAGCAGGCTGGTTGCAGATTTCAATGAATATTTAATTTTAGTTTTAATTTCTGATAAATATTGATAGATATAACCTACATAACCAAAGCTCTTTGAGTCCTCAATAATTTTTTAAGAGTCTTAAAGGGGTACCAAGACCAAAAGTTTGAGATTGACTGAGCTAGTTGTTTTTAGAGGTAGATGGGGCATCAGCCTAGATTCTCTGTATAGATAAGCCATGGTAGATGCATTAGAAATGAAATTACTCAGGCAATGCATAACTTTAAGGATGTGTTTATGAGCTGGGCATGGTGGCAGGCATCTGGAAGTTCCAGCTACCCGAGGTGCTGAGGTGGGAGGATCCCTTGAGCCCAGGAGTTGGAGAAGGTGGAGACCAGCCTGGACAACATAGTGAGACCTTATCTCTTAAAAAAGAAAATGTGTTTACCATACAGGTACAGGCTTTCTTCTCAGTAGAGTTATTTTTACTTAGTGTAAAAATAGAAAAAGAATATTTTAAAATCATTCTTATCCTTCCACCCAAACAAGATATATACAGTTTCATACTCCTTTTGAATTATCATATACAGGCATTTTTATATCTTCACAATTATCATTTAAAATAACTGCAAAATCATATTCAGCATTCTTACAAACCTGAATAGCAACTTTTACATTTGATTTTCCAAGTGTTTTATAACAATATACTGAAGCCTCATACAAGAAAGAGTATGGCAAATTACTATCCCCAAAAACTTACTTCTAGAATGCCAAGGGATCTTATTTAAAATCAAACTTGCCTGGCAGATCCTGTAGCTTGATCCACAAGGAAAATGACATTTTACCCAAGAACTTCTGGAAACCTTAAACTCAGAACTATGTATCTCCCAAACCTTGAAGGCTCTGCTCACACTCAAACTACCTCTAGAACTGTTTCCCAGTATGCCAGATGCTACTCATGATTCCATAAACTCAATTAAGGCTTATATTAGGGCTTCCCACCACCTGAAATGATTTATTCTCTCATCTCCAGCTGCCCAAAGTTCATTCCTTAAGGGTCAGCTTGAAAGCCAGCTCATCCATGATTCCTTCTCAGTTTCCTTCAACTGAATATTACATCCCTCTTTGAATATTTGAAAGACTTTGATCATTTCTTACAATAGAAATCTTATTCTGCTCGCATTATCATTACTTTTTTATCTCACACCTTCATTCAGATCTTTAACCTCTTAAGGATAGGGACAGTCTTATCAATCTTGATTCCCTAACACACCATGGAAAAACAAGAAAGTACAAAGGAAAAATGAGACTCAGATAGGCTGTAATCTGCCTGAGGTCACATAGCTAGTGATTGAAAGAGTCAAATTTGAATGCCAGACCCCGTGACTCGAAGCCATGTTCTTTCCATTATACCCTCCCAGACTTTGCCCTATGCATCTCTTCTTTCGGCTGGTCCTGATTTGTATCCTTTTTTGCTATGTTAAAACTGTAATTGGCCCAGGCATGGTGACTCACACCTGTAATCCCAGCACTTTGGGAGGCTGAGGCAGGAAAATCGCTTGAATCCAGGAGTTGGAGACCAGCCTGGGCAACAAAGTGAGAGCCCATCTCTACAAAAAAATTTTTAAAAATTAGCCAGGCATGGTGGCTTGCACTTGTAGTCCCAGCTACTTGGAAGGCTGAGGCAAGAGGATTGCTTGAGCCAGGAGTTCAAGGCTGCAGTGAGCTATGATCACACCACTGCACTCCAGCCTGGGCAACAAACCAAGACCCTATCTCAATAAAACAAAAACAAACAAGAAAACCACTGTAATTGTAAGTATAGCACTTTCCAGAATTCTCTGAGTCATTCTAGCGAATTGTTGAACCTAAAGGGGTAATGGGAACCCCCAAATTTGTCAACAGTTGGTTAGAAATGTGGTGGCCTGGGAACCCTCAAACTTGCAGCTGGTGTCTCAAGTGAGGACAGTCTAACAGGAAACTGTGCTCTTAGCCTGTGAAGTTTGGCCTTACTCCAAGTAGGTGGTGTCAGAACTGCACTGCAATTACGTAACAAATAACAACAGACACCATTTCATAATGTGTCAGGCACACTATGCAAGTATTTTTGTATACATTAGTTCTAAATCTTTAGAAAATATTATCTCTAAGCCTCACAACAACCCCATAAAATAGAATTATCATCCTAATTTTTTAAGTAAGGAAACTAAGAAATAAAAGTGACATGCTAAGTAAGCAGGGAAACCTAAATTCAAGCTCAGGACTGTCTGAGTGAAAAGCCCATGATCTAGTCAGGATACAACTCACTTTTCATATTGACTATACAGACACATAACAAGATTGCCACCTAAGAATACATGATACTCATATCTTTACTCGAATTACTGACTAAGATGTCACTGTAAAATTTAAAGTACTCTTTAATGAATTCCTTATATGAAGTACGAAATATTTTAATAAAAATTCTTTTAGTAATTGCTTAACTTACTTGTTTGTGTTTTAGAAACATGTTTCTGGAGAAAATCAACTATCTGAGCCAAAACCTTCTTATTACAATGTGTTGATAATTTTTCATTACACTCATAACACCTGAAAAAATAAAAAATTTAAGCAAATATTATGACAGCATCATCAATAATTTTGCACATTAGGTAACAAAGTTGGTATTTATCCATTTCTGTCTATAAATTACATGGGAGGGAATACGAAGGGAAGGGTAACAGGTAAGTCTGGAGAAATAAGCAGGGGACAGTTCATATGGAGCCTTATAGTTCAAATGAAAATTTTGGCAGTTTATCTTAGGTATAATTAAATGCCATGAGGAGGTTTTTAAGCAGGGCTGTGACATGATCCAATTTACATTTTATAAACATCACTCTAACTAATGTGATAAACTGTTAATAGATCAGAGGGCACAAGGAATAGAAACAGATTAGTATATAGTAGCAGTGGATCTGGAGAGAAATGGACATATTCGTTACATATATTTGCAGGTAGAAACAGTAATGAATTAGATATAAAAGATGAGGGAAGAGGGAAGTGTCAAAATCACTGCCATAGGAAGGGAGAAGTGGGCGAATGTCAGTGATTCTCAATGAGGAGTGATTTTGTCACCTAGGGGACATTTGACATTTTTGGTGTCACAACTGGTGATAGCAGAGGTGACTACTACTGGCATTTAGTGGGTAGAGGCCAGGGATGCTGCTAAACATCCTACAATGTACAGCAGAGCACAACGAAGAATTTATCACAAAGAATTAATAGTCCAAATGCCAATAGTATTGAGATTGAGAAATCCTGGTCTACATGAAACAAGACTTGGTGTGAGTTGATAATGTTTAAAGCTGGTTGATTGGTACAGGAGAATTTATTATACCATTCTGTCTACTTTCGTTAACAGTTTAACATATAATATAAGATAAAAAGGAGAAGAAAATAACCCCAGGCTTCTAGCTTGATTACTCAGTGATGGAGGGAGGTGCCGCTTACAGAGAGGAGGAAGACTGGAAGACATAGCTGTTTTATTTTGTTTGGGACTTATTCGGAGGTAGAGGGTTAAAAAAGACATTTTCAAAAGCACATTCCATTTCAGAAAACTACGCTGAGTTAAATTTACTCATTAGTGCATAGTATTAATGTTTCTTCTATATATTATCATTATCTGTGTTTCCTTGATCTTCATGAGGTCTAATGATCATATAAGAACATGAGTTTGTAAGTGTTAAAGTACTTTATAATCATAATGCATTATACCAAATTGTGAACTACTTACATGTTCACAATATTCTTACCTATAAATGGTCCTGAGATAATCAATGGCTGTAAACTAGTTTGGATTGATTGTCTAAATAGCACTCAAAATTTAGTCAAATATTTACTGAGAGCCTACTTTATTATTTCCCCAAAGATAGATAGATCTGTGAAGGAGATGAGTCACAGACAACATTCCCAAAAACATCTTTTTTGATAGACTATTAAATTGAATTTAAATACTTATAGTTCCTAGACTTATATTTTAAAGGTGCTAAATATTTACTCATTCAACTATTGTCCAAAAATAATAAAAATTTAAATAATTGCTCATTTGAAAAATACTGAAATATCAAGAAATTTTTACTGATACTGTAATTTAACTTTTACTTGTTTTAACTCTGAAAGTACAAAAAGAAAAGGCAAGTAAATAAAAACCAACATGAGGACAACCGAAGATAATTCTAGTTGCTTTTATTAAAAATAACAACAAAAAAAATTTTTTTATGAGTACTTACAATGTGTCAGGCACTGTTCTAAGTGCTTTACATACACTGTCTGGTTTAATTCCTTGGAAAAATCATGAAAGTATTTTGATTTTTAAATAAATATCTTTATAGAAGTATCATATTTTCTTATTACAGATAAGAAACTAAGACAGGAGGTTCTTGTAACAAGAGTACAAGGGGGATGGGTGTAGTAGCTCACACCTGTAATCCCAGCATTTTAGGAGGCTGAGGTGGGAGGACTGCTTGAGGTCAGGAGTTCCAGACCAGCCTGAACAACATAGTGAGACCCCATCTCTACAAAAAAATTTAAAAAAATTAGCCAGCAGTGTGGTGGTGCCCACCCATCGTTCCAGGTACTATAGGGAGGCTGAGGCAGGAAGATGCTTCGAGCTCAGGAGTTCCAGGCTATAGTGAGCTATGATGATGCCACGGTACTATATCCTGGGCAACAAAGCGAGACTCTGTCTCAAAACAAACAAACAAAAAAAAGAGTACAAGAAAAATGCAGAATCTTCTTTCAACAAACTTTTGAGTATGGTATTTTATGTAAATTTAAGGGTTAAATCGGTGCCTCTTAAGTCTGTTTAGGCATCAAAATCACAAATAGAACTGCTTTAATAGTGGACATATGCGGATTTTTCAAAATCCACCTGTATGATTCTGATGTGAAGTTAGAGGCAAGAACAACTGTTCTAATAATCACTATTGGTTAAAGCAGTATTAAATCCACAATCTAGCAACTCTTTGCTAGCCATGATTAAATTAGCAAATCTACAATATTTCTTTCTTTTTTATAAAGTTAAGGTTTTTATCTAATTCAGGCTGGCTTTCCCTTTAATTCAAATTAGTGAAATTGTTAAATTTTTATTGTTTAAAAATTAGAAGGGAAAAGAGAATATTCACAACCTTTAAATTTCTATAAATGCATTTGGCAAATTTGAATTTCTTCCTTTTAAAGAAAAATAATCTACAGACTCCCAAATATGGCTTAAATTATTTTCATTATAACATAAATCTAACACATACTCTCACAAAACTCAATAAATTCATCATCCTTACAATTCCATATAACTATAAAAGCATAATAAAAATTACACAATTAAATATAAAAAATTATAAAACCAATTAAATTAAAACTAACAACACTAATTTATTATGCTGGATAGTTTTTCTTGATGATAAATCTCCATTCACAATTATGGTCCTAAGAGCTATTAACACAACAGAGGCTATGGCACAAATTCACTTGAGCTGCTAGGTGCCCCTCAATTCTCCTACCGTCTTTTTCTATTTCAGTGGTTCTTAAACTGTGGTCTCCAGACCAGCAGCATTGGTAATACCTGGGAATTTGATAGACATGCAAATTCCCAAACCCCACCCCAGAACTACTAAATCAGAATATTTAGGCCTGAGATCCAGCATCTGTCTAAATAAGACCTCCCGAGATGCTGACACACTGTAGTTTGAGACCACTAGAGCGAAATTTTTGTTGAGCTGCCACACTATGACATCATCCTCCTCTCCCTTGGCTCTAATGCATCATTTACATATTACGTTCCTTTGTTCTTTCCTCCTTCTCCCCAATACTACTACTTGGGGCCAACAACAATAAAGAAAAACACAAATGCAACAGGTTCCCAACCCCGTGGCTGTATTAAATTATAAGATGATGATCTCTCCTATGACCCAAAATGTCCTTATATTAATTTTAGAACCCTGAAAAAACTTGAGGACTCCTGAAAATTCATTCGAGAAACCCTAAGAAACTATAGATTCCAGTTAGAAAATTATTGTAAAATATAGAGAAAGCATGTCAATACAGTGTCCATGTATACCACTGAAACAGTGTGGTATGCTGGTAAGCAACTAGAAAATCAAAAAACTTGTTTTAGAGTCTGGATTTTTACTTTGTAAGCACAAAAAGGTAAATGATACTCAGTTTCTTTACACATAAAGTGAGAGAACCAGACTAGGTTTTCAACCAGGGTTAAGTAGCAGAATCACCTGAGAGGTTTTTACAAACTTCTTACCCACATTTCACTGCTTGATGTACCTTCCTCCTCTAGAAGTCTGGAATTCTGTATTAGAAAGTTTATTAGAAAAAATCAACTAGAAAGAATTTTTCTTTATGTTGCAAAGAAAATGTTAGAGAAGAGTAGAAAGATAATTAATTTTTTCCAATTTAAATTTTATATTCATAGGTAATGTTAATTTTCTTAAATTATCCCATAGATTGTGTTCAGGCTGAAAAAGCATAAGCTGATGTAACATCTTTAAATATTTTACCTCATAAAGCTTAAAGATTTTTTTTTGTAGTGGTCATAAGAACTAACAAAATTTAACTTACCATATAATCCATGTGCTGAGACTGATTGTAATACAATGGGGCTCTGTTCTGGAATTCTTGAAGTGCTTCAGTGAATGTTGGCTTTCTGAGCTTTTACCACATCCCTGAAGATGAACAGAATGCTATTTGATTCACATATGTTTGTTTCAAATTAATTAAAACTTAAATCCCTACTCAACTTATATTGAAAAAATTCTGTTTTGTTTTTAATTTCAAGCAGGAGGGCAAAGTTTCAGAAAGCAATAAAGATTCTCATTAAATTTAATTTCTTGCAAAGAGGATAACTTGTTTTTCGATATATAATATTTACCTAAAACAATCGTGAGCAGAGTTAATTTCCCTATGATTTAAAAATGTATAAACTCTCTGTCTGGAGATAGTGGGACACTGAGCATCCCGACAGGCCAGTGGTACTCCTCCCTCAAACACACATTGCCCCATCCTGTCCACATCTCCACCTCAAATCCACTGAGAACTAGTGAGACACAGACCAATCATAGTGATTTCCTTCACTAGCTAAGAAATGAAACACAATTCTGATTAATGTGACAAGAAGGAAGTCTGCTAGATATTTCTAGAAGAGTTTTACATATTTTCAAAAAAGAACACAGGCCTCTTTATGGCCTTTGGTGATTGCTGCATTACACATAATGCCTGAAGCATCTTTGGCCATCCTGAAACCATGAAGTTGAGGAGAGGATAGCAGATAAACAGAATAAACCTCAGTTTTTAATGTTCTTTTCATTGAATTAACTAATCCTGAAGTGGTCTTACTTCTGGACTTTCTATATGAGATAATAAAGATACCTCTTATTTTAAAAAAATGTGCACGCTTTTAATTTCATTAGAAAATTCCTTTATTTTAGGAACTTCTAAACTTTAAGATAAGTTATTTTGAAAAAAAGGAGAATAATCCTTTTTGAGAGAGAAACAAATGAGTCTAAAAAGTTGAATTTATTTCCTAAGTAAATGCAAAAGGTAAAGACAGGTCCAGACATGGGAACTACTGCAAGTGGATTGGATTCCCTTTCGAAGTATTTATAAATCACACGTGATTACTTTCTGAACATACCATACCTTTTACTTTACCTTAACACACATTTCTAAGTCCATTCTAGGAGAGTTTCTACATAAATATGGAATAAATTTATCTTAAGTCCTATACATGACCAACAATCTAACTCATAGTAAGCACTTAAGGAAAATATTTAAGACAAATTCACACATAAATAACACTTTTCTTACCTGGAAGCCACACCTGAGGCACAACCAAATATCAGATGGAAGTACTGGCTGCCCATCACAGAACCTTCTTTCTTTTAAACATTCTGAGCAAACTGACCACACATTCTCAGCTACTGCTCTCTTTACATGATTCACGCTGATGGCATGACTTACATGTTGGCAAGTTAAACCTAATGAATAAGATAAAACAAAATTTGAACATTTTCTTAGCTAAACCAGAGTGCTACCATCAGTAAGCAAAAGTCAATAGTATTACAATGCCATTAACTAAAAGCACAGAGATTCAAAAAACAAAATAATTCAAAAGGATACATGCTACATGATTCCGTTTATATAACATTCATGAAATAATATAATTATAGAGTGCGAGAACAGATTAGTGCTTGTCAGGGACTATAGATGGGGGACAGAGGGTGTAACTATAAATGGACAGCACACAGGGTGGTAATGGAACAGTCAAGTATCTTGATTCTGGTGGTTATATAAAGCTATACATGTACTGAAATTGCATAGAGCTACACACATTCACTCACTCACTCATATGTGAGTGCATGTATTATATATCTGGTGAAATCTGAAGAAGCTGTAAGGATTATACCAATATCAGTTTCCTGATTTTGATATTATACTATAGCAATGCAAGACATTAATATCAGAAGAGGCTGGGTGAAGGGTGAATGGGACCTCCTTGGATATTTCTTTGCACCTTCCTGTGAATCTAAAATTAGTTCAAAAATTTAAAATTTAAGCCTGGGCAACATAGCAAGACCTCATCTCTAAAAAAATAAATAAGAAAAATTAGCAGGGTCTGGTGGTACATGCCTTAGTCCCACCTACTCGGAAGGCTGAGATAGGAAGATCACTTGAGCCCAGAAGTCTGAGGCTGCAGTGAGATATGATTCTACCACTGCGCTCCAGCCTGGATGACAGAGCAAGACCCCAATCTCTAAAAAAAATAAAAAAATAAATTTAAAATGTAATAAATAAATAAAATTAAGGAGATTATATATGTTTTAAACAGCCACTATGTATCAAGCATTTTGAATGTATTTTCTTTCCATTAAGATGCATGTATAAAATATTTTCACATAGACTAGCCCTGTTATGATGCAATTTTCATTATTTTTGGGAGAAAGGAGAAAGAGGAACAAACAATGGTATAATTTACAGGAACAAGAATTCTCAGAATTTTCCTTAAGGAATATTCCCAAATAACAAATTATTTTGACTGGTCCCTAATTATCCTTTATAACAGCTTCTCACTGTGTGCAGTTTGTGGAGACGAATGGTCAAAACTGAGCAAATATGTTTTTAATTCTTCAAATAACTATATATTTCTCCCATGGCCACAATTACACTTCCCTTTCTCCCAAATACTTGAACATTTTAATTTCTCCACTTTGGACATCTCAAACATTAAAGCCACAACTACCTACCAAAATCAAAAGACAAAGGAAAAGACTAAGTAACTTTTAAGAGGAAAATAGGTGTATGTACACTTCAACTTTTTCTACTTCTCTTTCTAAATGGAAAGCATTTCTTTTTACCTTCAAATTGACTAGAGAGGCTAAGCATTGGTTTCATTTCATCCTGAAGACCAAGAATGTGACTGCTGACAAGTTATTTATAGTAAAATATAATTTCAACAAAAATAATATGTAAATGTGAATAAAATACTAAAACTTCTAATTTTACATAAAGAACAAGCTATAGAAACAGACATAAAAGGAGTAATTCTGAAGTAATATGTGTGAGAAGCAAGGACTCATGAAAGAAAGGACTGTTCAGTGAAAGATTGATAAATGACCAACAAGTACAAGATCTAGAAATGGTTTATCAAATGTCATTGCTTTGTTTGAATTTTATATTGTAAAACTCTAAGGAGAAAATCATTCCACATACCTTTATATATCACCTCTGGGGTGGAGTCTGGCCAGGGTACAACTTAAAATTCTCTGATTCTACTATTCAGACTGTTCAAATTGAAATTTTTAGTGAATTCAGAGATAAGTGAACTCAAGATAAAAAGGTTCTAGGCAATACATTATATCTATTAGCTTTTAAATGTCTCAACCATATGTATTTTTTATGAATAAATAAAAATGTTTGAAGTTTTCCTACAATAGGTAACCAGTGTTTAAATAGTATTCACTATCTCTGGTGGTATAAAATATGTAAAAAATCTCCTTTTGTATTAATAAGTAAATTTCTTCAGTTTTTTGAAATTTCTTTCATCATGTGATTGTCTAAATGTCATCTGACAAATAAGTCCTCTAAAGATTCCTGAATAAAATATTAAAATGTATTAAAGTCTACAGCTTTAATTTAAACACATTAAATAAATCAAAAACAATACTCAGAATCTCCATGTTTTCCACTTTAAGTATTAAAACAAACTTTATAGGAAGGCCTTCCGATTTGCAAACAGTGACACTTCCCCCTTCTCCCAGAAATTATCCAAAGACAATAAGAACAGGAAACAAAGACACAAAGATCATTTTCAGAGAAACCAGAAGACAGGTGAAGCCCTAAGTCACAAATTAAGTGGAAGGGCACCCACTTCAAAGCAGCGGAGATCGAACAAAGGTACATGAAGAAGAAAGCAGAGAATACTGCAGCTGTAGATTTCATACAGAACAACACACGCTTCCCAGACATAAAACAAACCTAAATCGTTGTGCTGCAGCAACCGTAGCAGGAGCTCCCCTATATCTAATTTTGTGTTGAGAAGAAGCAAAAGAAGTGAGAAATAAAGTGAGCCATCTTTGCAGGAAAGAGTCTTGTCTCTATGGCAGTTCAGGAGAAGAGATACTTTGGATCATGAAAAAATCCAGGGCTGCATAATTCAGGACTACATTTTTTGGTTAGAAAAAAGTAAAGGCTTTTTAAAATGAACTAAAATTCAAAACTCCAGCTAGGTCTCAACAAGGCTTTAGCCCTGCTTTCTTACCCAAATATTTCTAAAATTGTTAGTCCAAAAAAAAGCAACCCTACATCAAAGAATGAGTAATCACCCCCTTACCCCCTTGCTTCTAGCCCAGGGGCTCCCTAGTCCTTCCCAGAGCATCTCACTCCCACTCTCACGTTATGGGTGGATGTGGCCATGTAGGTGGCAAAGGCACTGCCTCCACGCCTCAGGCCCACTTAGCAATCACCAACCACCTTCCCACCCTGGGATGCAGGATGTAGATATTGTACAAAAGTTTCTAAATCCCTTCTTTTTTTTTTTTTTTAAGGCTGGTCAAGTGAAGCAGTGGGAGTGGAGAAGGGACAAAGGAATCTGTAACTGGTTGTGATCAATTAGCTGTAAACACCGCTGCACTAGGACCAACCTAAATCCCTTCTTTTCTATGTGCTTTTTTATTTAAGAGGGTAGGGTCACACGTGGGAACTCTCTCACAATACAGTCTATCAATGTTTTGGGAATAAAAATGGGTAATCAAAGAGAAATCAAAGCCACAAATTCTATACTGAGATAAGAAAATGTAAGGAAGAAACAGGAAAAACAAATTGCTCTGCCATGAAATAACAACACAAAACAGAAGCAAGAGCTCTAGGACAAGATGGCAAAACAATAGCAAATGACTGGCAGAGTTTAGGGAAAAAGTGGAACAAAAATAAATATATAAAACCACAAAAATGAAGGCTAAAATAAAAAGAATATAAGGTGAAAGACACTGCTGCAAATACAGTAAAGGATAAAAATGAAAACAGCAGTAGAATGAAAAGGAAATAAGAGTTTTTGAGGATTTGAGAAAAAAATAACCATGGAAGACAGGCAAAGAACAGTTAACATAATAATCATATGAAGAAATCAATATGAACAGAATAGAACAAATATATAAAGATATATTTCAGACTTCCTTCAATACAGCAAACTAGCTATCCTGAAACCCTATCCAAGTTAAAACACTGAAAAATGGCAATAATATATTTAAAATATCATTTTAAGTGGAGAACTGAACTAGCAAGAAAGTGAGGAAAATCCTCAGAGGCCAAAAGCTAAGGCAAGAAGCTAAAGAGAAAAGCAAGCCCTGAAGCCAGCGGCTCCCAATGGCCATCTGCCAAGCTTGGGTGCCTTGAAGACTTGGTTTTAACAGGACCTGACAAAGGAACAACAACAATAAAAAAGATGCCAATCTAAGTTACTTTATGAACTAAACAAAACCCCAATAAATACAACAACAGCATTTTTTGGAACTAGACAAGCTGATTGTAAAGCTTATGCAGAAAACAGTGAAAATAAAGAGTAATGGATTTATTAATTAAAAATAAAACAGTCATACATTGGTAAATGCAGAGATTGGTTCCAGGACCTCCCAATATATACCAAAATATGCACATACGCTGTGGACACATTGGAGACTCAAAAGGGGGGAGGTTGGAAGGGGATGAGGGATGAAAAATTACCTTTGGGGTATAATGTACACTACTCAGGTGATGGGTACACTAAAAGCCCAGACTACACAACTATATATTATATACATGTAACTGAATTCAACTTGTACCCCCTATGTCTATTAAAATTTTTTAAAAAAAATTTTTCAATTTGCACATACTCAAGTCTCACAGTCAGCCCTGTGGAACCTGCCTATAGGAAAAGTTCGTCTTCCCAGTAGGAGGTTTTCTCAAATTCTGTATTTTCCATCCCTATTTGGTTGAAAAAAATTCATGTATAAGTGGACCTGTGCAGTTCAATCCCATGTTGTTCAAGGGTCAAGTGCATTGCTATTTCTTGTCCTCAATGCTATTTGCGATGCCAGATATTATAATTTACCTGCAATGTCGTCTGAAGAGTCTTCATAATGAGGTATAGTTGGCCTTTTGCTTCTTTTGGCTTTCTCAGGTAAAGCTTTGGTTGGATCTTTCACCCGCATCTGTTATTTACTGAAAAAATTAAGGTAAAAAAATGAATACACAATCTTCAAAATTAAACTTGTACATATTTTATTTAATGCATATCAAAATTGAAATGGCTTCAATTTTAATTGGTCTGGTAAATCAACAGAGGAAGAAGAACAGAACATCAGCTGAAATCAAAGAAATCTTTATTAAGTCAATATACAAATGGTAGATTTTCATTTGACTTTTACCAACCATCCTGTTATAGACTAAATGTTTGTGTCCCCCTCCAAAATTCATATGTTGAAATCTAATCCCCAATGTGATGGTACTTGGAGGTGGAACTTTTGGGAGGTAATTAGATCATGAAGGTGGAGCCCTCATGAATGGGATTAGCCTCTTACAAGAGGAGGCCAGAAAGCTAGCCTTGTATCCACATGAGGATACACCAGGTCTACTGGCACCCTGGACTTCCCAGCCTTTAGTACTGTAAGAAATAAATGTTTGTTGTTTAAGCCACCCAGTCTATGATCATTTGTTATAGCAGCCTGAACTAAGACATACCCACATACCCCCTAAATATATGATGTTCAGGTGAATTAAAAAACTAATTTGGTCAATGAAGTAAGTGCTGTTTCTGGATAATGTGCTCCTCTTGCCCTTTTTTCCCTTCCACTAGCAAGGAAATAGTACGAACTAGAAGAGCCACATTGGACTAGGGAAGGAAGCCATAAGCCAAACGCAGGAAAGCTACCCTACCTGTGCTGTACTACCTAGTGCCGAAATATTAGAGAAAGTAATATTCTATCTTTTTATGCTATAGCATTTTTTGTTTGTTTCCTCCACCTTTTTATTACGAAAAATTTTAAACATCAACAAAAGTTAAAAAAAACCATACAAATGAACATCCATATACTATCTAGATTCCACATCTATTAATGTTTTGCTATATTTGTTTTATCTAAATATCAATGTGTATATACGGAGACAAATGTGTATATAAGTGTATGTTTTTTTCTTTTTCTGCTGAACTATTTGAATAAGTTGCAGAGATCATGACACTTCACCCCTAAATACTTCAGCATGTATCTCTTAAAAATAAGGACATTTTCCTATGTAATTTTTATACAACATCATTATCATCTCTAAGAAAATTAACAATAATTCTCTAACACATCCCATCCTATTCTAATTTCCTTAGTTGACCCCAAAGCATCTTCAATAGCTGGTTTTTCAAATAAGAATCAATCAGTGTTTGCACTTTATATTGGCTATGTCTCTTTAGTATCTTTTAATCTAGAACAGCTCTTCTAACTTTTTATTACACTTGCCCAAGACACTGGCTTTTTTAAGAGATCAGGCCAGTGCATATGAGTCACCTTGGGGATCTCCTTCGGATATGAATTCTGATTCAACAAGTCTGGCACAAGACCTGAGATTCTGCCTAACAAGCCCCTCCCTACCTACCTGGAGCCATTGCTGGAGATTCACAAAATATACTTTTAATAGCAAAGTTGTATGATGTTCACATTCAATCTGTCTCTTTCTTCATGGAGTTATTTACCTTTATCCTTTGCATTTCTTAAAAACTCAGTTAATTCTACAGACTTTAGACACAAGGTAAGCATTTTTCAAAGCACTGTATTTTGGAGTCTCCATTAGAGCAGCTTAGCCTAAATCCTACCTACTACTTCCTTGCCTGGTGGCTCTGCTACATCGCAATTTTCATGGTTTTTGTTTACTTTTCAATAATCAAGATAATGAATTTCTCAATTGAATACTAAATTCTGAATCTTAGTTTAGTCATTCCATGTTGCACATAAGGGAGCTTTCAAGTTTATCATTTTATGAGCCATTTCTTTAAGTCCAAGGATCATCACTATTGAACAGAGTTGCAACAAATGAAGGGCTTTAGAGTTACAGAGATGTATAAAGCCTCTGAGTTCCTTGATTACTTCATCTCTATCTTCTTCCTCCAATCTTCCTCATCTACTCATTCCTACAGTCTCATCTTTAAAAAATCACTAATTTAAGAAATCCCTTCTCTCATTACAACTTCCCAGTTCTTCCAGCATACTTGATTGGCTACTGCTATTCTCCTTTGGTATCTGGGCTGACAAGAGGCTGCACCTCAAGTGCTCCATGATCCCTACAGCAGGGCAGGGGTTAGTAGCAAATAAAGAGTTGGTTCTTAAAGCTTCACCTGGAGGTGGCACGTGCCACATCTACTCATATTTTACTGACCAAAGCAAGTCAGAAGGCATATTTAACTTCACATAGACAGGGAGGAATATACAAGGAGTACAACCTTACTGTGTACCCAGAAAGAGGTGAACCAGCACATCTGTGCACAGCTTAATGACTACATCACTCCTCTGGCAGAACCCAATCCTAGATGAACCCAATTAACCATTTTCTCCATGTCTAGAGAACGTCTCACAAGAAAGCAGACCCCATGCAGGGGTGGGGAACCTGTGGTCTTCTGATTTCAAGATTGTTCTTTTTTAAGAACCAAAGGAGGCAAGAAAAGCTTCATCTTTCTCTGCTGCACCCCCCTTTTTTTTTTGGTAATAGCTTTATTGACATACAATTCCATACCATACCATACCATAACATACAATTCATCCCCATAATATCCTGAGATAAAAAAATGAAGTGTACAATTTGATGATGTTTAGTATATTCACAGGGTTATACAATCATCACCACAATCAATTTTACTTTTCAAAACTCGAGACACAGAGGAAGTACAATTAACATACTCCTAAAATACTATTTTTTTATTTCTGCATATTATGGGGGTACAAATGTTTAGGTTACATTGCCCTTGCCCCCCTCCACCCCTGTCAAAGCTTCAAGCGTGTCCATCCCCCAGATGGTGCGCATTGCACTCATTATGTTTGTATATACCCATCCCCTCCTCCCCCCTCCCATCTGCCCGATGCCCGATAAATGTTATTCCTATATGTGCACTTAGGTATTGATCAGTGAAACCAATTTGCCGGTGAGTACATGTGGTACTGCACCCCTTTTAATAAAAGGATTTGTTCTAAAATTTGGATTCTGTCAATAGGCCACACTTAAGGACCTAGAAGGCCACGTGTGGCCTTAAGGCTGCAGGTTCCCCACCCCTGTGTGACCTTCTGGTCAACTTACCTACTTCCACAAAGTCATTTCAAACCTTTTTCACTTTACTTAAACCTCTACTTCCCCATTCATCAAAAAATGATCTAGTAGTCTACTCTATAGAGGGAAAAGAGACATAACCAGACGGCAAATCTGATCTTTCTACCCCCAAATTTACAAACCTACCTCCATCAATTTTAATTTGATGTCCTAAAAACAGATAGGCATAGCTAGTAGAATCCAGGAAAAATGGCCCATGAGAAACTGATCAAATTTTTCTCCCTGTGGTATAGAGAAACCCTTAATAAAGATGAGCATTAACACATAATGCTAGCAAAATAGTAAACAAAACCCGGCACTTGATCTGTAATCTGTAAACAACCTGTGCCTTTTTTCAAAAAACACTGACTCAAACTTAACTTGGCAACATAGAGACAGTTTCTGATGATTTTCTGACATGTGTAATATGTCTAAACAGAAAGAATCATTTGGTATAGTAACTCACAATTTAGCAATCACTTATCTGTACAACTTTCTAATCCCCATTTAAGGCAAAAAGAGACCAAAAGTCCAATTAGTAGAGTTTCAAATACTTTCTATCATCAAAATTGTATCTGAGGATCTCCAAGATGTCCCTCACATTTGGAGATTCCATAGGATTCATAGGACTTAGCATATAGCTGTATTCATGGCTAACATTTATTACAGCAATGTAGTTCAGATGTACAGTCTGACCGTAATGGAAAAAGATATGGGTGGAGTCTGGAGGAATCACACGTAGGCTTCCTTATCCTGTCTCTCTCCCAGGAGGGGTCATATAGAACACACTCCTCCCCCAACAAGGAAAATGCAGCGACACATAGGCAATGCTTCTGCTCCGGGAAGCCTATTAGAGACTTGGTGCCCAGAATTTTTATGGAAGCTGTAATTTCGGCATAAAATACGTTGTTGAGCACAAACTCCCCAAATTCAAGTTCCCAGATGCCAAACAAGAGCCATCCTTGCAAGCAGGCCTTTCTAAGGATGGCAGTCTCAGGCCTGCTATGTTAACTCTTTTTCAGCACAAATACGTTCTGGCCATTTTTCTCAGGTGGTTTTGCAAACATCAAACTTTACAGTTTTCAACTTCACCATCACATAACACCTGTCTTTTCTCTAATGGAAGGTGTGCAACTAAGTTGTCTTAAAAGCTTTGCTTTTAAAAGGGCTATGCAAACAAAAGCCCATATTCTTCAAAATCATCATCATCTTGTTTTTCTACTTTTGGGCAGTTATTTTCGGAGGTAGGGAGAAGAAAAGGACGATCCCTTTTTAGATACCAGGCTAAAAAAGATGAAAAGCACTTATAGTTTTGCTGCATATCACGCGCAGCTCCAAGCACCTCACAGACAGTAACCCACTTAATCCTCACAACCACTTTAGGAGATAGGTTACTACTGTTTTCCTCATTTTACACCTGAAACTGAGGCAGAGGGGTAACGAGATTTGTACAGGTCCCAGAGCCAGTAAGTGGTGGATGGGGATGTGGGCCCCGGCAGTCCGACTCCAGAGCTTCTAATACTCGACGCTGACAGAAAACGGTGGTTAGACACACTTCCTCCGATCACTAACACCCCCAGAACGTGAAGAGAAAACGCGCCGTGACGGGAGCGCGCAGCAGGGAGGACGGAAGGGTGTCGGGACGCCGTGCGCCTCGGTCACCGTGACGCGGGGACTCGGACCCTCCCTGGCTGCTCCTCCCGAGGCGCCGGGACACGGAGCCCGCAGGGCTGCGCTTACCGGGTCCTCGGTGACCGCCTGGCGCCCCCAGGGATCGGGAAGGCGACAGGGAATAGAAGTCCTTTCTCCCAGCCTTGCCCACCCACAAAGGGGCCAGGGTCGCCCAAGCGAAGACCGAGAACCTGCAGCGACCACAACACTGCGTCCCCAACTCACCCCTCCCGGCCCGGCAGCCGCGTCTACAACCAGGAAAGACTGCGCCTGCGCGGACGCCCGCGAGCAGGCGGAGGCGGGGCCTCGTGTGCCCGCCCCCAGGCCCCGCGGGTGGCCGCCGCGCCAGGCGGCTGCGGAGCGCAGGGCGGCTCGCGTGGCCCCTGCTTTCCTAGAATAGTAGCCACCTACTCTCACTTTGTCTGCGTGGAGTGCGCAGCTCCGGTCTTCCGGGCGTCCAGCGTCCACTTGTTGCCGGGCGCCTTCTGGGACTGCCTCCGACTTCCCCGCTTCACCTTCCTTTGAATTCAAAAGTCACATCTGACATACATCGTATGTTGTCTTGCTTTTTTAAAAATTACTCTTGTATTACCTGTCGTTCTCACTTCCAAACTAGACAGTACATTTCTTGACCTACACCTATACATATTCGAAGCCAGATTATCTATTAAAGTGGTCTGCGCATCGCATGTTTAGTAAAAGTAGTTGGCTTGAAAATATTTTGTTTGAATCACAGACATTGCAAACGTCAACACTAACTATGGATAGGCTCTAGAAGGGTCCTAATCTTTCATAACTCTTTAGCCAAGAGACAAATGTGGCCTTATGGATAAGAGCGTTGGATTAGAAATCCAAAGATACCAGAGTTAAATTTTTAAAATATCTGATTTTACCTTAAAAACTCTAATTCCTTTCTCACATTGTTTCCATGCGGAGAACTTGGCAAAGGAGACTGCTATTGTTTATATTGTATCTACATTCATTCAGAAAATGCAATTGTGTACAAATATGCCAGTCACTGTGCTAGGTATGGGCGTACATAATCATCTTTTGCCGTAAGGGAATTTTTTTCCTTAGGGAAAAAGAAAATATTCCTCAAACAAGTATAGGTTGTGTTGTGGTGTAATTTTGAAGTCGAAGTTGCCTACTTCATAAATCAAAAGTTTTCATATATTTTACCTGCGGATTTGACATAGAATCTGGAGGGGGAAAGCAAATAAGCAAATCTAAATAATTTGTATCTTAAATTGTGCTGTAGTAAAAGAGATTTTAAAAAATGTATCATATATTGGAACCCAGTGTACAGTAAAAACCGGATTGAATTAGAATATGGAAATAGAAGTTCTTTTCTTCATAAAAAGAATTTTAGAAATTATGCAAAACACGATACAATACTTACATTTTTCTTGGAAAAGACAAATTTCAAAGCTATCTTGATTTTCAGCAGATGTACCCTTAGCATGATGAAAATCTCCAGAGATTGCAATCTCCATTTCGGAATTTAGCATGAGCTAGGGAAAATTATCTAACACTAAGTTTTTGGTGGGTTTTTTTTGTTTGTTTGTTTTAGAGACAGTCTTGCTTTGTCGCCCCTGATAGAGTGCGATGAAGTGATCATAGCTCACTGCAACCTCAAACTCCTGGGCTCAAGCAGTCCTCTTGCCTCAGCTTCCTGAGTAGCTAGGACTGCAGAAACAGGCTACCACACCAGGCTAATTTTTTTGTTTCTCCATCTTGTTCAGGCTGGTCTCCAACTCTTGACCTAAAGCAATCCTACTGCTTTGGCCTCTCAGAGTGCTAGGATTATAGGCGTGAGCTACCAAGCCTGGCCTAACACTAAGTTTTTATTTCTGATGTTCTTCAAATTATCTTTTCACTTAATCGAAAGTAAAATTTATTTATTTGATGGATTCTTCAAAAGAAGGAACTCATTTTTAAATGTCACCCAGTATCTTTTCAGTGCTATTACAATGACACTATGACAAAACGTCAAATAAAAAAATACAGATTCAATTAAGATCAACTAACTATATTTTTCAAATATGCTAAACATCTTACTTTTACCATCATTGTTCTGCCTAGAAATGTGTGGAATACTTTGCTAAACTGTAGGCTCTACATATACCTCTTCGATTTCTATCAAGTGTGTTTTTTAAAGATATACTTTTTATTATAGATTTAATACATGCTAGTTTAAGTATAAAGTTCCTCATTTTCTCCTTCTTCTCACACTCCTATTTCCTCTCCTCAGAGGTAACATTTCCTCTTCTCTGTTCACTGTTCCTTATGTATAGTATTAGGAATTGTCTTCGCATGTACAATATGCATTTATACCATCTCACGTCTCTTCACCTTGGGAGCAGAGAGAACTATTTTTCAAGTTGTATATAACTCACACACAGAAAACAACTTAAAAATTTTTTTCATTAAATTAGAAAGGATCATTTTGTTTTCGAAGTTTTTATTCTATTTTCCTAATAAAACACTGTGGTCCCAAGGCAAAAAAATTTTTTTCTAGTGTGGCAGTCAATATACTAGATTAGTCTACATTCTGTTCAATGACTTGATTTTTTCACTTGACAGTATATATTGGACATATTTCCACATTAGCCTTATTCTTTTGACTAGCTGCATAGGACTCTAGTGAATGAATGTATCTTTAATAAAAATCAGTCTCTTGTTAGTGTACATTTATCTTGTACAATACTTGTGCAAGTATTTTCAGTAAATAAACAATTAGCAGTGGAAATGCTGAGTCAACAGATGTTCATTTAAAGTTTTGATAGAAATTCTTTTGACGAAAATAATTACATGAAAGGCCACACATCTCTTAATTCTTCATTTTATTTGTCCATCATGTTAGGCTTAAAGTGGATTTTAAAAGAAATAGGAAAAATCCCAAGTTTCTTAAAAATCCCTTCCTTTCCAACAGCCTTTCACTTGAACATGTTATGAACATGTTATTAAAAAAATAAAATGATTTGAGAATTAATAGTTCATATCAACTCTGCACTAGTAGACCTTTCTCAGAAGAGTAAAATTATTTCTCTCCCTTCATCCCACTTTAAGTCTTACTAGCTCTCCCTGAAGGAATAACTTGGACACTTGCACCCTAAGAGCAATGATCAAGAATCTCTTTTTGACAAGATCTTTTTGCTCTAAGGACTCTTAAATAAACAAAATTTAGCACTGTGCTATATATGGGAAGACATATTCATCTTTTCAGAAAAAAAAATCCTACAGAAAAATATTTCTTAAATAATAGTCATGAACCCTAGGAAAAGAATTGTTTAGTAATATTTCTTTTACGAAAGCATACGTCAGATTAAATGTGATTCATTGATGCCAAGTACATGTTTCCATGTCTTGTGTTCCTACCACCAGTGGTTTATGATGCATATTCAGATTGGGGTTGCCACAAAGAATACATAAATCTACAGTATATGATGACATCTTGGTTCAAAGGTATTCCCCAAAATAAATTACACAGAGACTACAGTTAAGCTCCAAATGATTTGGAAAAACATAATTATAGATAATGTCATTGGTACAGAAATCTGAACTGGTTTATTAATTACAAAATTATTGAAGGTGGAATGATTTAAAAGTAAATGCTTAATGAAATTATTGTATCTATCCTTTAGTCATGCCATTAAAATCAATATTTAATTTTAAACTATTTGCCATTAAGTATAGCTATCATAATGCTTGGGAACCAAGTTGAAAATAAATTAAAAATAAGGTAACGAGAAACTTTTATGTGGTAGGCTGAATAATGCCCCACCCCACCCTAAAGATGTCTATGTTCTAATCCCTGAAACCCATGAATGTGATACTTACCTAGCAAAAAGGGACTTTGCAATGTGATTACATTAGGTGTCTTGAGATAGGGAGATTATTTTGGATTATCTCAGTGGTCTGAATATAGAGGTCTTTAAAAAGAGGGGCAGAAGAGTCAGAGGAAGAGGAGATGTGACAAAAGAAGTAGGGGTCAGAGTCAGAGAGGAATCCGAAGATGCTAAACTGCTGGCTTTGAAGATGGAGAAGGGGGACAGCAAGCGAAGGAATGCAGGTAGCCACTGCAAGATGGAAAAGACAAGTAAAGAAATTTTTCCCAGGGAACACAGGCTTGCTGATATCTTGATTTTAGCCAAGTGAGACTTCTCACCTACAGACTTGTGGATAATAAATTTGTCGTTTTAAGCCAGTATGGTAATTTGTTTCAGTAGCAATAGGAAACTAACCCACATTATAAAAAGTTGGATTTAATCTTGACAAAGCTATAGTCAAATATCATCAATTCGTGGAGATAAGATGACAGTATGAAATTATTTTAATACTGACATCAGTTGACCAGCTATTGGAGTTAAGAACAATTCTTAGAAAAGCATCTATGTAGTTTGCTTTAAACTAATCCAGTGCATGAAAATCATGTCATAAAGTAAACTGGAGAAGTTTATCTACTTTAAATATTTAAATATTAGTTGGGTCATATATTTTGTCTTCCATTTTTAAACTTTGTCTCTTCTAAAAAAAAAAATAACAATCAAAAACAAAAAAGCAAGCGTAACCCTTAGCTTTTGTCCAAAGGATTTTTAAACTTTAAAACGGCAGTCTGTCCGCGATTTTGCCTTGCGGCACTACCCGGTTTGGCCGGCGCTCGGCCGGAGGGCGCTGGAGAGCCCGCGCAGCGCGCCCGTAGGCGAGAGCAGGAGGAAGTGGCCGGTCGCGCACCCAGAGCGAGCCGGCGATGGTGCTGCCCCGGCTGCTGCTCAGGACCGGGCTCAGGGCGGTCATCGGGTCTGTGGAGGCTGCACCCTGCGGTGAGCTGTGGTAGTCCTTGGGAGAAAGGAGAGCGCCTAACCTTGGGGCAAGGGATGGCATTTGTGGAGGTGCTCGTTTCTTTAAACTTCATTTAAAAGTCAGACCCATTACTCTTGATACCTGGGAATGTAGCATCCGCTTGCAGTTCTTGTTACTTCAGATTTGCGGCTACCAGAACCTGGGGTTGCTCTTGGGGACGCACGGAGAGAGGTAAACCTTGCTCCAGGGAGCTCGTGTGGGAGGACATTTCTATTGGTAGTGGTGCTTGATTGAGCCATGAAGGTCAAATCGCAACTCAGAGGAGCGGGCAAGATGGCCAGTCCCTGCCCGGGAGAGACGTAGTGACGAGCCCCGCCTTGCGAGTTACGCCAGCGACCCACTAGAGCGCAGTGCTGGTCGCTGGATGAAACAGCCACCCAGAGTTATAGCGTGTTAGAGCTGTGAAAGTACCGCGCATGATTTTACAGATGAGGGCAGAGAAGTGAAAGTGGTTAGTGGGCGCATTGGATCTAGAACTCAGCGCAGGCCTCCAGGCCCTTCTTTTTGCTTTACGTGCTTCCTCTCTCCTTCAGCATCAGATTTTCTCTGCGGATGCAGGTACAGGGGCCGGCATAACACAGCGCCACCTTCCCCCTCCCTCACCCTATCTAAACAGTTGGTACATCCTCTGTAGTTTACGCTGTGCTTTTCTATGCAAATTGTTTCGTTTTACCTTTAATCATTAATAATCGTTTATTGAGCACCTACTCTGCCAGGCCTCCTGCTAGGGATACAGCCTCTGCAGCTCAGGCGTCACCATTTCTGGGGGAGACAGACCCAAGTCAAAATCACCACACCCAACCCAGTCGAGTGACACTACAATGGAAAGAACAACTGACTCTAGCTGACTTGGAGAAAATATTAGAGAAAGGTGTCTTTTTCACTTTAAAAATTATGCTAGTATTACATAATTATATTCTTGTTATATTAAAACAAACAATAAAGCAGAGCATTAGTCTCCTTTATACATCCTCCCTTTCCTATTCTCCCAGATATGGTTTGATACGTACCCTTCTATACACTTTTCTATGAGTATACAGAAGTAAAAGCACATTAAAAATACTATACATAAAAATTTGATCTGTGCATACTTTTCTGTAATTTTTTTCCCACTTAGGTATTCACAAGCTTTCCATGGCACTTACAACTCTTTTAACTAGTCATCTATTGATTAACATTTTGGTTTCTAATTTTTTATTATAAACAGTTTAATAATTATCATTGTACATGCCACTTTTGTGTATTTGTACAAATATCTTACTATTAGTAGAATAGATACCTAGAAGTGAAACTGTTAGATTAAAGCAGAGGTGACAAGTGATATTTATTAATAACCAGGCCTTAAAGGAGAATAAGAGCATTCCATGTAGAGATGAGGGAGAAAGATATTCCCTTCGGAAGGAACAGTGTGTATAAATCATGAAGGAAAGGCAGAAATAGGTATTTATTGATTGCACTGTATATGTATTACTTTATTTAAACCTCACAGCAACTCTAAAGGATTAAGTGATATCATTCCCATTTTACAAATACGAAACTAAGTGTAAACACTCCTTCCAATTCCTGGTAACCTCTTACCTACCTTCTGTCTCTATGAATTTGCCTATTCAGGATATTTCGTATAAATGGAATCATACAATATTTGTCCTTTACATATGGCTTATTTCACTCAGCATAATATTTTCAAGGTACATCCATGTTGTAGCATGTGTCAGAACTTCATTCCTTTTTACGGCTAATATTCTATTGTAAATATACACCGTATTTTGCTAATCCATTCATCTGTTGAACACTTGGGTTTTTTTCCACCTTTTGGCTGTTGTGAATAATTGCTGCTATGAGCACTGATGTACAGGTGTTTATTTGAGTCCTGTTTTTCAGTTCTTTTGATTATATACCTAGGAGTGGAATTGCCTGGAAACCTGTATTTTAAACTATTATAGGTATTTGTCCATTTTTCCATACTTTGCTATCAGTGAGAAAGACAAAAGAAAATAGAAAAGTGTCTGGTTTTTATAGGAAGATATGCTTTTTTTGTAACCTACTTTTTGGCTTTCTTTCCTTAATAAATGGAACGGCTAGGCATTTCTTTTGGCCTATGGGTACTGCAAAAAAATTACCAGGACATCAAGAATATTGTGAACCCAGAAAGTCTGGGAACCTTAGGTTTATATACAATGTTCTCAACTAGGTTTTTTTTTTTTTTTCATATAATACTATATTTTGGACAACTTACATTAAATAATACATATTCCATTATATAAATGCACCACTTGTAATATAACCATTTCCTTATTGATGGACTTCTAGCTTATTTTGTTTTTCAGTACTACAAAGAGAGCCGCCCGTGAACATATGTATACATATATACATCTGTATTAACTCATACCAGTATTTCTGTAGACTCCTAAAATTGTGAGGTTAAAAATGATATGCATACTTCAAACATTATGGCTAAATTTTCCTTCAGAAGTTTGTAACTTTATACACAACCAACAATGTACGAGAGTTACCCATTTCTTCATTCTCTCACCACTATTTGATATTATCAATCCTTTTAATTTTTACAAACCTGGCAAAATTACAAAATTTTATATCTTGTATTTCTTTAATTAGTAGTGAGATTGGGCACCTTTTCACTTTTTTTTTAGACAGGGTCTTGCCCAGTCATTGGGGCTACAGTGCAGTGGCGTCATCATAGCTTACTGCAGCCTCAAACTCCTGGGCTCCAGGGATCCTCCTCCTTCAGCCTCCCAAGTGGCTGGCACCACCACACACATTAATTTTTCCATTTTTTGTAGAGATGGGGTTCTTGCTCTTGCTCAGGCTGGTCTCCAACTCCTGGCCTCAAGCAATCTTCCTACCTCAGCGTACCAAAGTGGTATGATTATAGGCATGAGCCACCATGCCCTAATCCCTTTTTCACATTGTATTGGCCATCTATATTTCTCATGTCAATTCCCCATTCGTATATTTTGATCATTTTTCTATGGAGATTTTTGTCCTTTTGTTAGTTTTTTGTATGAGCTCTATTTTATTAATACTTATCTTTTGTCTCTTCTATTTTCTTCCTGCCTGCTACTTGTCTTTGAATTGTTAATTGTTCTTTTTCCATATATAAACTTAGCATTTTTATGAGGTCAAACCTTTGATTTCTGACTTTTGCCATGTTTAGAATGGGCTTCCTGTCCCAAGATTTAAATTATTTATTTATGTTTTCTGAGTACTTTTAAGATACTAGCTTTTAGATTTAAATTTGGAATTCATTTAAACATGAGGAATGAGGCAACAGCTTGCTTAAAAGTTTTCTCCTAGCTAGTTGCCCTACATACTTATTGAATAAAATCATTTCCCTATTAATTTGAAACGTCACTGTTAGCCAATACTGAATTCTCATATAAATATTCTGAGTCTCTTTCTGGACTTAGACCTTTAAACCTTTTCCTATGCTGGTTCTACTCTACTTAAGTCAATTTAAGTTTATATTTAATACAGTAAATAAAAATTGAAGCATAACCATATTATTTACTTTTTATCGAAGTCATTTTGTTGTAAAATATGAAAATTGTCAATATTTTTTGCTATTTTATTTTTGGAATCTTTTGGATACTCTTAAAAAAATAATTTTAGACCTGTAGAAAAGTTGCAAAAGGCTGGGCGCGGTGGCTCACGCCTGTAATCCTAGCACTCTGGGAGGCCGAGGCGGGCGGATTGTTTGAGCTCAGGAGTTCGAGACCAGCCTGAGCAAGAACGAGACCCCGTCTCTACTAAAAATAGAAAGAAATTAATCGGACAGCTAAAAATATATAGAAAAAATTAGCCGGGCATGGTGGCACATGCCTGTAGTCCCAGCTACTTGGGAGGCTGAGGCAGAAGGATTGCTTGAGCCCAGGAGTTTGAAGTTGCTGTGAGCTAGGATGACGCCATGGCACTCACTCTAGCCCGGGCAACACAGTGAGACTCTGTCTTAAAAAAAAAAAAAAAGTTGCAAAAGTAAAACAGTTCCCTTTATTCTTACTCAACTTCCCTTAATATAAATATTTTACATTATGCAATTGAAATCAGGAAATTAATATTGATATAATACTATTAACTAATCCACAGACTTCATTTGTATTTCACCAGTTTTCCCACTAATAGTCATTTTTATAATCCCAGATCCATCATACATTGTATCGTCATGTCTCCTTGGTCTCCCTCAGTCTGTCACAGTTCCACGGTCTTTGTCTTTCTTGATAGGGACACTTTTTGAGTATTAGTTATTTTGTAAATTGTTTGAGGTCTTCTGACTAGATTCAGGGCATGCATTGTTTTTATTTTTTTGCAAGAATACTAAAGTAATGTTGTGCTCTTCTCAGTGCATCATATCAGGAGGTACATGTTATCAACATGTCTTACTCCTACTGAAGTCATCTTTGAAGGACTGGTTCATGTGGTATCTTTCAGGTTTGTCCCTTCGTAATTAATATCTCATGAGCAGATACTACCTTATTTCCCATCATACTTTCACCCACTAAATCTATATCTGTCAGTAGTTCTTGCCTGCAACAGTTATTACTGGGGTGTTTGCCTGACGATTGTTTCCATCATTCCTTCTACATTTGTCAGCTGGAATTCCAAATTAAGGAAAACAGTCCCTGCTCCCCATTTATTTATTCAATTATATCTTTATATCAGTATGGACCTATAGATTTATTTTATGGGCTATTTTCAAATACCATATTATTACCAATTACAGTTGGCCCTCTGGATCCTCGGGTTCCACAACTGCAGATTCAACTAGCTGTGCATTGAAAATATTTGGGGAAAAAAACCCCAAATTAACAACACAACAATAAAAAATAACACAAATTAAAAAACAGTACAGTATAACAACTATTTACACAGCATTTATATTGTATTATGTATTATAAGCAATTTAGAGATGATTTAAAGTATATAGGATTTAAAGTTCTATGCAAATAGTGCACCATTTTATATAAGGGACTTGAGCATCCACAGATTTTGATATCCTGGGGGGTCCTGGAACCAATCCCCCTCAGGTACTGAGGGATGACTATATTCAGAAGAAATAAAAACAGTGCCATTAGCTATTACATTAAGTACTTACAAGTGTAGTTTAAAATGTAAGGTCCCTACATCTAACATATGGCTTAATATCCTCACTTGCAAGGGAAAATGAAATTATAATTTTTTTTTTTTTTTTTTGAGACAGGGTCTCAAGTGCAGTGGTGTGATCATAGCTCACTGTAACTTCAAACTCCTGGGCTCAAGTAATCCTCAGCTACTAGCTAGGACTACAGGGACATGCCACCACACTGAGCTAATTTTTTTTAAAAAATTTTTTATAGAGACAGGGTCTCGCAATGTTGCCCAGGCTGGTCTTGAACTCCTGGCTTCGTTTGATCCTCCTACCTTGGCCTTCCAAAGTGCTGGGATTATAGGTGTGAATGCTGGCCTACAGTTTTTTTTGATATTGTTATTTGAATTAGGGTAAGGTTTACAAATTATTTCCATAATTCAGTTACCAAATGGTGAATATACATTTACAAGTTCCCACCAGTTAAGGGGATTGGAAAGGGTGGAATAGAGCTGGCACAAGGCCAGCCATCAAGCATTCAGGGCAGGACAGGCTGCATCCTGATGTTCAGAGTCAGGATGTGTGTGTATTCTACTCACAACACTTCTGACACTAAACGTGTGGGTTTTCCACATCAAGCAATTCTCTAACACTCTATGGACACCAACTGAGTGTCCTACGATTGATTTAATTCTGAACTAACTATCCAGAGTTAGCACAGACTCCCCAGGCTGAAGGCTCGGTCCCGTAAGACTGCCTCCACTTCAGACACCAGTAGCAAGTCCAGGCCTCCCATACTTCTGATGGACTACCTGTAAATTAGGGGGTTCCCATGACCCCCTTCTTGGGTTGCAATGGCTCACAGGACTCATAGACACACATTTACTGATTTATTTTAAAGGATATAATAAAGGTACAAATAAACAGCCAGATGAAGAGGTACATAGAGGGAGGTCTGGAAGGGTCCCAAGCACAGGAGCTTCTGTCCCTGTGGAGCTGGGGTACCTCTTCTCCCAGTACATGGATGTTTTCATCATCCCAGAAGCCCTCTGAATCCCATAGTTTGGGGATTTTTATGGAGACCTCAGCATGTGGGCGTGATGGATTATTAACTCAATCTCCAGCCTCTCTCCTCTCCATGGAGGTTGGAGGATGGGGCTGAGAGTTCTAAGGTTTAATCATGGTTGGGTCTTTCTGGTGACCAGCCCTCATCCTGAAGCTATCCAGGAGCCCACCAAGAGTTACCTCATTAGAACAAATGAATCTATTACCCAGAAAATTCCAAGGGATTTGGGAGCTCTGTGTCAGGAACCAGAGGCAGAGACAAATACATATTTATTACACCACAGAACAAAATACATACATAGAATACATAGTTTATTAAAGTAAAAAGACTAATAACTATAGTTAGCTGACTAGAGTGGGGGCAGGGATCTTTTAACCTAGTTTTTTTAGCTATTACTAGCAATGTCACTTTGAAGTGCCTAAATTGTTTTATTTTTTCCAGGCTTAAAGTCACTAAAGGGAAGCTGCCACAAATTTTGTATTGCTGTTTCTAAAGATGTCACTTATAAGGAACTTAAAAATCTGTTGAATTCAAAAAGCATTATGTTAATTGATGTTAGAGAGACATGGGAAATTCTTGAGCATGGAAAAATCCCTGGGTCTGTCAATATACCATGTAAGTGCCATGTGTCTTAAACTGATTCATTAAGAGAGATATATACATCTTATATATATATATATACAATTTACTGTTATCTAAAATCTATATACAAATTTATATATATATAATTTACTGTTATCTAAAATCTAATTGAAATTCTTAACATTTTCTTTCAGTGGCTGAGGTAGGTGAAGCTCTACAGATGAACCCAAGAGACTTCAAACAGAAGTATGATGAAGTAAAGCCATCCAAATCTGACAGTCTGGTGTTTTCTTGTTTAGCTGGGGTGAGAAGCAAGGTGGCTCTGGACACAGCAATATCTCTGGGCTTTAATAGGTGTGTAGATGAAGAAAATGGATTCATGAATGTATATTTCAGTGTTTCATATATATTACATTTTTATTGGTCTATTTAAGAATTTCTTTTAATTACTATCAGTAAAGGCAGGATAGTGAGACTAAAAGCCTCTATCTTTTCATCTTACTCAAATGCAACACAATCTTTTAAATAGGTTTAGAGTCTAAATAGTATGGTGAGTAGCCATGGCATTATTTATCTCTAAAGTTCCTATCAATCTTCTTTTATAAAGCAGTAGAAAATGTTTACAGCACTATTTTATGTATATTTTCAGATCTCAACACTATGCTGGAGGATGGAAGGAATGGGTAACCTGTGAAGTTTCAGAGAAGAAATAAGGAAATTGAATTTTGGAATACAAGTTCGATCTTCTCTTGTGTACATGCAGCCTAAGGTAGTGGAATGAGCAAAAGAATAAAAATCTATTCCTGGTACCACTGATTATGGCAAGGTGATTTTGTGTAAACCAATTGTTGAATCTTTTTCTCATCTGTAAATTGAGAATACCACTCTCCCCTGCCTACTTTCAAAGGCTATTGAAGATTGAAAATAATGTATGTTACTTGTTATGGAAATATAAGGGTTGGAATTCTAGGAATTCATTTTTTAAGTAGTTTAGTATAATTCAATAGTATTCTAAAAGACTAGGTTACTTGTATTACCTAATCATGTATGATATGTGTTAATACAGCTTCTATTCATCAAAGAGGCTATGAGCTAGGCCAGTAGCTTAATAAGCAGACTTGACCTTTAAAAAAATCAAGACTGTGGGATCTAGAGAAATTGGGGAAGTTTGAACAGTGAAAATACATTAACAGCATCCAAAGACTTATAGCAGTGTTATAACCAGCGCAGTAGTGATATAATTTGCAATTTAAAAATTAAAGTTAATATTATTAATGGGGGATAGAAACCAGAACAGTGGTTGCTGTTCTAGAGAGAAGATTAACTAGAAAAGACAAGGAGAGAACTTTTTAGGGTGATGGAAATGTTCTATATCTTGACTGAAGTATTGGTACATAGGTATATACATTTGTCAAAACTCATTAAAATGAACACTTAAAAATGTTTTTTGTAATTATACCTCAATTAAAAAATAATGAAAATAGAAAAAAATGTCTAAATATGTCATTACACTAGCATGGGTATATTCCTTTGGAATGTTAAGTCCTACATGTGTTAGTGTGCTAGCGCAGTGATGGCCAAATAAACCTGTGTTTTCTTGTCTGTGCCTCTTCGGACACATTTGTTTTTAGCCTCATTCATGTAAGTCATTCTTGCAGTACCTATAAAGACTTGTTTTTTCCTAAGTGAGATGGAAAGCCACTGGAGAATCTGGGGTAGGGATGTGCTATGATCACCTTGAACTTCTATTTCTGATGGGGGAAAGAGGGGAATATATCTAATGTTTAAAGGTATTAATTCCTGAGGCAGAAAGGATTTGAAGAGCCATAATCTCAGGGAGAAGGAAAGTTATAGAGCATGAACCAGTACTGAAGTACTGAGTCCATCAAGGAATAGGAGCCTGGGTAAATATATCGGGCTTTCAGTTGGAAGCCCTGAAAGGCTAAGAGTAGAAGTGAACTGGAAATTGATCAACCACACACACACTTAAGCTTTGAATCAACTAAAATCCTTGAAAGAATTAAGGTTATCTTCTTGATACCTAAGGGTCTACCAGAAGTATTTAATAAACCCTCTCTGGAGAACAGTACTATTATCTAGCCAGAGCAGGGGTTAGCAACAGTAAATCTTTTAGTCTTGTGGCCATTAGGTTTCTGTTGCAACTACTCAACTCTACTGTTGTGCACAAAAGCAGCCACAGACAATACATAAAAGAGTAAGTGTCACTATATTCCAATAACACTATAGCCTCTTGGGTTTGAATTTTATGTAAGTTTCATGTGTTACCATGTACTACTGTTCTTTTGATTATTTTTCAACCATTTAAAAATATAGAAAATATTCTTAGCTCAAGGCAAGGCAAAAATGGGTGGCAGGACAGATTTGACCTATGGGGCATAGTTTGTAGACCCTTGAGCCGGAGCTACGAATTATCCCTACAATTTTTCATATACAATGTTCAGTATTCTATGAAAACATACTAGATGTAGCAGTCAACAGGACCTCATGATTAAAAAAATAACAGGGAGACCAGGCACGGTGGCTCACGCCTGAAATCCTAACACTCTGGGAGGCAGAAGCGGGAGGATCGCTCAAGCTCAGGAGTTCGAGACCAGCCTGAGCAAGAGCGAAACCCCATCTCTATGTGGCCCACGCCTGTAGTCCCAGCTACTTGGGAGGCTGAGGCAGGAGAATTGCTTGAGCCCAGGAGTTTGAGGTTGCTATGAGCTAGGCTGACACCACAGCACTCTACCAGGGGAGACAGAGCAAGACACTGTCTCAAAAAAAAAAAAAAAAAAAAAAACAGGAAAAGATAATAGAAACATCCACAGAAAAATCTACATTTTGGTGTTTTCAGACTTTAAAATAAATGTTATTAATATATTCAATAACTTAGATGACACAATTGAAAAATTTATCAGAGGAATGGGAACTACAAAAAAGTATCAAATGGAAATCCCGGGACTTAAAAATGTAATAACTGAAATTAAACACCCGATAGATGGTATATGGGTTTAACAGCAGATTAGACAAAACTGATGACAGGATTAGTGAAAATGGAAAAACTAGAGAGGTACATGTATTAACCTGGATGATTCTCACAATATTTAGGAAGAAAGCAAAGAACAGAAACATATACTGTAAAATATAGTTTTAAAACATATAAAATAATATTTAGGCATCTGGACATATATAAGTTATGAAAATAATAAATATTAAAATCAGAATGGTTTCCAGTGGGAGAAGGGAGAGGAAAACAGTAGGCTTTAATATTGCTAACATTTTATTTAATATATTTGGTCCGTAAATAAGCACTTAATTATTTTTACCTTTTATACGTATGGGATAAGAATTATTGTTATCCCCACTTGGCTACACTTAAACAAAATTATAACAAGTTTGGATTACTGGTACTATTAGTAAAAGAAAAAAAACATGACAACATATTCTGTTTACCCAAATATAACTGAATTCAATATCTTTTTTAAAAAAATTTAAATTTATTTTTTTGCAGAGGCAGGGTCTTGCTATATTGCCCAGGCTGGTCTCAAACTCCTGGCCTCAAGTGATCCTCCCACTTTGGCCTCCCAGAGCACTGAACTGTACTTACGTCTTTTTGAAGAAACAAAGAGTTAATAAATTAGAATAATATATTTTCTATATTAGATCAAATTTATAAAGGTAACTGTTATTCTAAAATAAAAATTTAACAAATTATATTTCTTAAACTGCACTGACTTGTACAACAAAATTCTTAAAAGAGAAAAACCATCATCAAGGTCTGCAGTATCAGAGTCCTCAAAATGTAAAACTATAGCGTATGATTTAATACATCATTTAACAAGTGACTATTTTACTTCAATCATGGGAGAGTATCACTTTTACTTTGATAATATAAGGATAGATCAAAGTTTTAGAAATGTATGAGAAAAACTAGATTATACTTCCAAATGCTATATATACTTACTTTCATAATGGAATAGAAGGAAGATGTCATGGAAAAATTGGCAACAGCAGACAGCCTCAGAATTCTGAATTACTTGAAGTGTCTCAGGTTTCCTTCATTCACACCATTTTTCTTACCTGCCTTATGATCTCAGTTGGGTTTCTTGGATTCTGTGATAATGTGCCTTTGTGCTATCTAGAATGTATATGCCATAGGAATACTGGAGAGACGTAGGATCAGCAGCTAATCTGAGAGATTTTGTATTATTAAAGACAAATGAAAAATAGAATGCTTCTCCCACCATCCAGTAAAAAATATTGTTCAATGCCTAAAAGGACAGCAATTTGTTAGTGGAAAAGTATAATTTTGTCACTGCCACTTTGCAATGCTGTAAGCTTCTCCAAGAGCAAGGATAAGAAGAGAAAGTGGAAAAGGAGAGAAGTTTTAGTAAGATACTATAATGACAGAATGTGCTGAAGTATATCCAAAGTGAGGATAATAGTTCCTACCTCACAGTTTAGTTTTGAAGATTAACTCAGATAAAACATTTCAAATATTTAATATTATGCTGTCATCATCATTACTGTGTGAATCTGTATTATATGGTACCTGATTATAGGCAGCTATATTTTGAATTGTTGTTTGCATTCATTTAACATTAATGGGTAAACAAGGCAGGTGAAACTTTTAGCTAAACACTGGGGGTGGGGGGGCTGGAATGGCAGTGGATCCCTTACTGAAAACAAGTAGAGTGAAACTCTGAACACTGAAAAATGAGATAACCTTATTCCCCACTCTCATTTGTCTCCAAGAACCCTGACAGCCTAGCTCCTATAACCTGAGATAGAAAGCTACAAGATTCCTCTCTGGAAAAATTGACCCACCCCAAAGAAAAACCTTTAGAAAATGATGTCAGGGGTGGGAGAGATAGCCCATGAAAAAGTTTTGTTGCTGCCTCATCCTACAATGAAGCTCACCACTGAAAAGTCCTACTCATGCACACAGAGACCTTCCAATTAGCTTTCTCTGTGCCTCTCAAATATGAAGGATCCTGGGAAAATTAAGGCAAGATTGTAACTTGAAAGACTATGACCAAACCAAACAGTAAAAAGGGACTTCAAGAATATACAAGTTGAGTATCCCTTGTCTGAAATGGTTGGGACCAGAAGTGTCTTAGATTTGGATTTTTTTCAGATTTTGGAATATTTGCATATATGTAATGAGACATCTTGGGGATGGGACCTAAGTCTAAACATGAAATTCATTTGTTTCATGTATACCTTATACACATAGCCTGAAGGTAATTTTATATAATATTTTAATATTATGAATGCACAAAACAAAGTTCTGTTTTGACTGCATTTTGACTGTGATTCATCCTATGAGGTGAGGGGTAGAATTTTCTACTTGTGGCCTCATGTTGGCACTCAAAAAGTTTTGGATTTGGGAGCATTTTGGATTTTGGATTTTCAGATTAGGGATACTCAACCAGTAGTGTTAATGCAGGGAACAAAGAAAATTTTAAAACAACCAAAAAAATCTAAACTAACATCCTCAGAATGATGAGAACACATTACACTCTCAAACAAGAACGAGGTGCTAATTAAAAGACCTAGATCCCCCAGATCTTGGATACCTATAGATAGAAGATAAAGAGAAGTCCCAATATGATCAATTCTTTGATGACAACTGTGCTCCTTGGCTGACAGAGTAGTCAGTCTAGACTGGAGGATGAGGATTCCAGGAAGAATGTCTCCCTCTGAGTGATTTGGAGAATAAATAAATGGCAAATGATTCTGGTGATAAATTAATAGACGATACAAAGTAAATTCAGCAAACTACAACCAAGCAATTACTATTTCCAGAAACACAAAAATATCCTAAAAGAAAATGTAATTATAGTACACTACAGAAAAAAGCGTTATCTATGTATATTCAATATATACTGAATATGAATTTAACAAAAACTATACAATTAAATGGTGATGAGAAAAGTCCCAGTCTATGAACAGTTGAGGAAGGGGAAGAATAGGGGGAATTAGGTGACAAAGCAAAATCTTCATCTTCCATACTAGGGAGTTAGATAATATTTACAATTGAAAAAGAAAAGAAAAAAGAAAGGAAAGCATAGCAGAGGAGGCAATATGGTAAAGTATTTGGAGCTTAGATGCCCAGGTATTAAGAATACCAAGCTCTGTCACTCACTTGATCTGTGACTAAGTTACTTAATATTTCTACTCCTGAGTTTTCTCATCTCTAAAATAAGATTGCTCTGAGAATTGATTTCATAAATACAGAGCTTAGAACATATTTGGCACATAGTAAGTGCTCATATAAATGCTATAATTAAAAGTCTGTTACTTAGAAATGTGGAAGTAAATAGCAGAGAAATGACTAAAAATTCAAAGTATTTACCTCTAGATAGTAGGAATGAAAGGCAGGGAGAATGGGACAAGGATCTAACATTTTCCACATCTTTTTTTTTTTTTTTTTTTGAGACAGAGTCTCACTCTTTTGCCTGGGCTAGAGTGCCGTGGCATCAGCCTAGCTCACAGCAACCTCAAACTCCTGGGCTCAAGCAATCCTTCTATCTCAGCCTCCCGAGTAGCTGGGACTACAGGCATGCGCCACCATGCCCGGCTAATTTTTTTCTATATAGTTTTAGTTGTCCGATTAATTTCTTTCTATTTTTAGTAGAGACAGGGTCTCGCTCTTGCTCAGGCTGGTCTCGAACTCCTGAGCTCAAGCAATCCGCCCGCCTCGGCCTCCCAGAGTGCTAGGATTACAGGCGTGAGCCACCGCGCCCGGCCTCCACATGTCTTATAGCAGCACTGTCCTATAGAATTATAAAGCAAGCTATTATGTTATTTTAAATTTTCTTACATGTAAAAGATCAAAAAGAAACAGTGAAATTAATTTTAGTAATGTTTTATTTAATCCTATGTATCCAAAATATTATTTAAAACATGTAATCATTATAAACAGATTTTACATTCTTTTGTTTTGTACTAAAGTATTTGAAATCCAATGTATATTTTTACATTTACAGCACAACTCAATTCAGACTAGCCACATTTTTTTTTGTTTTTGTTTTTTTGGAGACAGGTCTTGTTCTTATGCCCTAGAGTGCAGTGGCATGATCATAGCTTACTGCAACCTCAAACTCCTGAGCTCAAGTGATCCTCCTGCCTCAGCCTCCCAAGTAGCTAGGACCACAGGTGTGCACCACTGTGCCTGACTAAATTTCCTTTAAATTTATTTTTGTAGAGACAGGATCTCACTATTTTGCCCAGGCTGGTCTTGAACTTCTGGGCTCAAGCAATTATCCTGCCGCAGCCTCCCAAAGTGCTAGGATTACAGGCATGAGCCATTGTGCCCAGCCAGACTAGCCACATTTTAAGTGTTCAATAGCCACATGTGGCTAGTGGCTATCAAACTGAACAGTGTAGCCTGTGGTGATATTTTAATTTTAAAAACAATACATATCATCAATGGCTGCTAAATACAGAGACACCCAGCCATACATGTCTCCTGATGGAAGACCACTATTTTATATAGTAGTCTACCAGAGGGGGGGGGAAAAAAAAAGAATCTGATCAAGTCTTTAGATTCAATAACGAATTTACAGAAAATATGGAGGAAAAACATGTTAAATGGCATGTCAAGGATGTAATCAGCAAAATCCAGATAGTGGGAAACTCTTAGTAAAAAATAAACCAAAAAGAGGAATTTTAAAAATGTGATGGAGATAGAATTCATTAATTTAAAAAAACCTAAAGGATTTCGCAATGAATTGCACTGTGTGGTCCCTATTTAGATCCTGACTAGAATTATTTAACGATTTTTTATATTTGTGAGATACTTGAAAATTTGACATTAAAAATTATTTTTACTAATTCATTTTTAGGTACAATAATATATTTATAAAAGCTTTTTTTTAAAGAGTCATTATTTCTTAGGAATACATACTGAAATATTCATGGATGAAATGATATGCTATCTGGGATTCGATTCAAAATAATATGCAAGTTGGGGGAAGTAGGTAGGAGTTTAGATGAAATGAAATTGGCCATGAATTGATAATTGTTAAAGCTAGGTGACAGGTACATGGAGGTTAATTACACTACTTTATCTATTCTTATATATGTTGTTTTAAATTTTTCACAATAAGAGATTGAGGCACATGTATTAATTTTAAAAATAAAATTTTAAAAATATAGGTAAGTTTAAAGGAAAAATTATTGTTAAGTTAATGATTGTGATATATGATCACTCTACCCATCTACCTCAAGCCCAACATTAATTCCTTCAGACCTGAGGAGAGCTTTTTCTCTTATTTCTTATCCTGCCATAAGCCTAGGAGACTTGTATTTGTCATTGGTCTGACTTTACACACAGTCTCCCTTTCCAGCTCATCTGATACTATCCATAAGGAAGCAGGACTCGGTCTGCTTAAAAACCAATTGAAATGACCCCCATGGCAAACTACACAAAGCTTTAATTTAATATTTAACTAAAGAGGGATTCTCAGAAAACAGCATAAGGCAAATTAAAAAAAATAATTCAAGACATTAGTCAACATGGCTGGAGAACTTGCTTTTATTCTTGCAGTTTTATACTAGGAAGCCAACATTTAATTTAATAACCCATTGTCCACAATTGATTTATTAAAAAATTTTAATCCTTAAATTGTACATCAATATCCTATGACTCCAAATGTTATCACTCTCCTTCAAGTCTGAAGAAAATGATTAATTTATTAAGTTCCACAGACAGCACAGTCCCACTGACATAACATTTAATATGAAGTCCTACACTCATCTGAGAATTAAGAACAGCCAGTACCAAACTGGCCTGAAACCTGATTGTGTTCCTGGCTCAGGATACTTGTAGTAAATTTGTAAATCCACGTTAAGACACAAAATTAAACTAGGGTGTGTATATCTTGTTAAAAACTTTTCACAGTAAAAGGTAACATTAAAATTTTACTAAATTTCAACATTATGGTTTTTTATCCAATTAAATTTGCAAAATGCCTGATTAACTGTGAATTAATTGCAAGTAACTTCATGTAGATTTTTTTTTTCTGTTTGCCCAGCATTTCAAAATGGTTATGGAATATTACTTTTAAAATGTCAAAGTATGCTATACATATTGCACTTTTCTGCTAGGCTGGGGCTAGTATCTTCCATGGCAAGATACCAAAACTATTGAATAAAATACACTTTTAAATCAATAGGTACTTGATTAATTTCCCTGAAATTATCAACATCGTTACCAAAATCTTCCAGGATTTTGTAAGATTTGATTCTTTAAATACAGTTTTAAAGTTAAACGTATGGAGGGGGAAAAAAAACCCCTCATATACTAACTTTTTATGTCCTTTTTTGGTCCCTCAATGACCAAAGAGAAATTTAAAGAAATTATGCTCCATGTTTCCTGGCTTAATAAAAAGCTACAATTTTTATTATCCAGATTAAGAAATATTATACTAATCAAAAGCTATTAATTTTGAAATATCTATGTATGTCTGTCTGTAGGTCCCCTTAGAACCTTTCCAAATTTTATAATCAACAGATTTAATCAGTTATGTACTAGAATCAAATTAGGTAAAGAAACTAATTTTGCAAAAATAAAATCACTTCCAAATATGCTTGACAGAAACAAGCTATTCATTTTCATTTGTGTTCCATTGAAGACATTACTGAAATCTGTCCAATGGTTTATTTCCAAGTGGTCCACTATGGAATTCTTCGGAATGTTTTAAGATTGGCTGTAGCTAGAGTTCTGACTTCCATTTGGACCCTGCTCTCCTTCACTGTTCAAATGGGGAAGAAAGAGATGTTTTACCAATTAAAAGATTCATTTTTAACACCCTAATAAGCCTACTAATTTTAAAGTTCATTATTCTGTAGCAGAACTCCGCAAAGAAACATTCCTAATTATAAGACACAGATGTGGAAAAATTAAAACTCAGAAGAGTAACGTTTGGTTTCATGTTTTTATTCTTATGTAACTTTTTGCCCTACACATAACAAGCATTCTGGAAGTCAGTGTCCATATACACTCCAAAAATTTAAATTAGGGCATGGGATTTCGCTTTTATTACAGGTATCACCCAACATAGAGATTACAGCTTCTTCTAAACAAATTTTCTATAAAATTAAATCTTACATATAAAATTCTATTCCTACTATTTATGAAAATCAAGAAGTGTTCTTCCAAAAAAACTGGTGTCCAAAGGCATAATAAAATCATACGTAAATACAGCAAAACTTTATAAGTCAGAAAAGAAATTTATGGTAATTTCCTGGAAAATGCTGAATATTTAAAATAAAAATAACTAAAACTGAAAATACCATTGAATGTGGCAATAGGATTATTGCCTTATCTTGTCCACCATCATCTTGCAGCTTCAGGCCCTGCCACTAGTGGAGAATCACTCAGGGAATTTCTGCAAAAAATGCATCCAAAGGCAGCTGTTTGAATGACTGTCTTAAACAGCTCCTTGTATAAGTCAAGTTAACTTTGTCCAAACTGTAACATTATCAGTAGCAACCTACAAATTTATCTTGTTATATAACTTAATTATTTTTCTAGATAGATGATGAAGATGGATAACATTTCTTTATTTCCCTTCTGACTTTTTCCCTACCCCAAATGATCTGATATACAGTGAGGGCTTAGAACCTGAACTAACTGAACAGATGCCATTTAAAAAAACAAAAATCATCAACAACAAAAACCTCTTAGCACAGGTGATTCATATTTTGCAACATTATGTTATTGTGTGCTGTGGATCTTAGGGTCACTCAAAACCAAAATTCTTTATCTTTATAATATCAGGTCACTCATCAGAATTTTTAAAACTGCTACTGAAATTTATAAAATAGGAAAATAGTCGGGGGGGGAAGATGACACATAGTCAAACTGACATGAAACTACTACAGAATTCTTTATCTCTGAATTTCAGATAAACATGCCTAATTCTGCTCTGTTTAAATTTATGTACAATATGTAGCCATATGTTGAGGGATACCTGTAATAGACCTCCATTGCATTAGGAAAAATTACTAAATAGATGATCAGATTAATGTATTTTTTAAAATGAGATATTCTCAAACTATCAAGTCACAAATTTAAAAAATAAAATTAACACAGATTATGAAGTTTTGGAAGAAATTTTAAGAAAAAGATACAAAACAACATAATCTAAGAAAAATATGATAAATAAGTATGATATATAATCAAATGAAATCAATAATTAAAGTTTATAAAATACCTGTTTGGAGGAGGTTTTGGTTTCGGCATCTTACTAAGAATAGTTGCCATCTCTTTTCTCTCATCAAAATTCTTCCACTGCTCATATAGTTTTAAAATAACCCTGATTATTTCCAAAATCTAGAAGAAAATATTTTTGAAAAGTTCTCAGTGGAAAGTTTTGAAAGTTCTCTCAAAAACAAGCAACATTTATTATATAAAGAACACACATCACAAAAACAGTAAAAAGAGTCTCTGTCCTTAAGTATGCAGGTTAGATTAGACAATTCTGATAAAATTTTAAAGCAGTATTTTTCACCACACTGCTATTTACACATGTTTTTTCCTCCTAGACTCTCATCTTTCAACAGGTATACCCTGTCCATCCTTATCCATCTCTGAAGTTGGTTTCCTTCTACCTGATGACATCTTAAACCAAAACAAAATAGTGAGATACTAAGAATAAAGGTTCTAATCATGGAGGAATATGCCACTATAGAGCACACTCCTCTAATAACAACTGTTGCAAACAATTTAATGGGAGATTGCACACACAAGACGTTTTTATTCTCTGTTCACTACCTATAAGTTAAGGTGCTCAAATACGGGCAGCTATAAATTTGTCATAACCAGTTTCCAAATTAGGCCTTTCTTTCCCACCTGAGTAGAACCAACTTAGATTAATTTTAACACATTCAACATTTGAGCAGAAAAGATAGAAAACATAGCAAAAGCCATTTTGCCAGGAGAGGTTGCGTTACAGAAATTCACAGTAGTAATCAGTTGTCACTAGGTAGCTTTTAAAACAATCCTGGAAATTAAAGGCTACTTTGTAACCAGTCAAAACAAAAGTTTACCATTCTATTTAACCCTAAGCTGACACGAGAAATATAAATTAAATAGTCAACATCAACTCTTCCCACCAAACGTGTTTCTTCATATTTTTTAACCAATAATTTTCTTAGCCTAATGAACATAAGATTTTAGACTCACAGTAAGTAAATAAGACATTCATTTTTAAATGTTCAAGTTTTTATTTAAGTAAGCAAATGTTAAAGAATACCTTTTCCATATCCACAGAAAGTTCAGCAAACCACTGTCTGGCATCTTTCTGCTGTACAACACAGGCTACGTGTAGGCAAGCTGGAAAGAAAATGGGAGACAATTGCCCATGTTTAGCTGCAAACATAGAATACATGATCTTAGAACTAAAGATAAGATTTTCACTTACGAATTTATGTGTATTTTCCAACATTCCTTTAAAAAATTATACAGCTTGCAAGCCAATACCAAGAATTAAAAAAAATAACAAATTATACAGCTACATTTAATAGTTACCATTGATCATCTTAGCGACCTAATCTGATATAGATAGAAAGAATTATTACACTACATTAATGTTCTTGACATCTGCTCCTCACTGTGTGCTAGTCCCTAGTCACAGTGCAGTTGCCTTGAAAGTCAGGGTATATTAGAGAGGAAGAACAGCCAAGGAGGCGATTAGAACAGGGAAGTCATCCCTGAAGAGTGATATAAACAAAGTAAGTCACATTGCACCCAGAAGTCAGTGTGACAAAAACAAAACAAACAAGAAAGTCGATCAATATGCCAAGTTTTAACAATGTTGACTATGTTTTGACATTTCAATTAAAAGCAGTGTTGCCTCTGCTTTTTTCTTTTTGAAGTTATTAGCATATGATCAAGTTATGTGAAGGCTAAGCATACCTATACAAATTTAGTGTTGAAATAAAATAGAGATTAGAAAACAATGTAATACATTGTATACAATTATATATATTATATGTAATATAAACTAACAAAGATAGTAAAAGAGCTCAAAGATAAGACTCCCCATTGTGATTTTGCCTAAAACAATTTCTACTAGCAGCCTGGCTACCCTGATCCCACCCCAACTTGTTGAGAGTTAAATTTCCTGGTCTGGTTACCCACATGACTTTGCTAAGGATGACATTCTAGGCAAACAGTAACTTAAATGTGAATTGACATACTGGTTGCCCCAAGTCAAACAAAACTACAGAGTAAGGCTTAGGTCCAGAAGGAATCAAGAGGTTAAAGGACTGAAATGGAAAGAACAGATGATTTAAATACAGTGGAAAAAGCCATGACTGGGGCATAGATAGAGTAAATTAGAGATTGAGGAGGCATCCTAAACCCAGACTGAGGTAATGTTGGGAGGGTGCTGGGGAGGGTCAACTAAAGGGGATATCTGAGCCAAGCCTTAAAAAAACGTGAGTGTGGGAGGAGAGAATGGCAAATATATAAATGGTAAAAAGAGGCTGTAGATTTTACCCAGCAATTAGGAAGAGCACTGAAAGGTTTAATTTGGAGACAAATTCTGAAACTTAAAAAGCTCATTCCAGCACAGGGTTTTTCAACCTCGGCACTATTGACATTCTGTACTGGACAATTCTTTGAGACTATCTTGTGCATATCCCTGGCTTCTACCTACTAGATGCCAGTAGCATCTCACCCTAGTTATGACAACCCAAACCAGACATTGCCAAATGTCCCCTGGGGGGCAAAATTATCCCCAGTTGAGAACCACTAGCCTAGCTCAACAGTGTGGAGGACAGATGGGCTCTCTGAGCACAGGGATGTGGAATGCAAATTAGCCAGTTAGGAAACTGCTGTGATAACCTGGATAGAGATGAGAAGATAGTTATGAGACTTAAAAAGGGACACACAATCAAGAGAAAAGCACAAAGGTATTGGTAACCAACTAGATGTAGGTATCAAGGCAGATGAAAGAGCCTAACTGCTGGGTTTCCAACTAAGGTAACTACCTAGTGCTATTGATCAAGCTAGCAAAGACATTAAAAGGAGGAACATATTTGGGGGCAAAGTGATGAGGTCAATGATGAGTCTGAGGGGCTGTGTAATAGGAAAAAGGATATAAAGAACTGCTCAGGAGCAAGATCTTGGCTAAATAAAGAAATTTAAATGTTTTAGCACATAAGAGATACTAGAAGCCATAGGCCTCAGTGAAAACACCCAGGAAGAAGAAAGATAGCAAGGATAGCAAAGACATAGCACATGTTCTGTTACCTCTCCTTCTTACCTATGCAGATCCTAGCATTCTTACCCACTGAACCCAGATGCCACTTCAAAATCCTTCCAAATCCAGTGCTTTCAGGGAGCCTTTTGTATTTATACTACAAAAGTATAAATACAACCTATTCGCCACCTCTGATGTAAGAAGGCCAAGAAACATCAACATTTAAGGAATAACTGAACAAAGAGAAACAAATGAAAATTAAGTCTGAATTGGGAAAATAATGGGGGAAAACCAAGAGGATGGAGTTATAGAAGGAATCAATAGAAGGAAAAGGAACAGAAATTAACAAGTACCTAGTAAATAGCAGGCATTATTTATTGCTCTACAAGCTATCTCATTTAATTCTTGTAATGACTCTGTATGGAATTATTAGCATCCCACTCATTTTACAATTAAGGAAACAAACCCAGAAAGGTTAGATAATTTTTCCACAATCGTAAAGAAAGTAAAGTTTAAACCCAGGACTATCAGACTCCAAAGACTGTGTTCTAACCCATCACAACACTGCCTTCCACAGACAGTGGAATGGTAGCTAACTTCTCCCTCCAGCAAGGCATTAAGGACCACAGAGGTGCCTTTACTCAACCTAAGTACTTAATTGGGCTTAAGATATGAAAGATGGGCCTGATTATTTTACATAAGTTCCAACTAATATTGGCAGGCTTAATTCTGAACTTTTCCCCCTAAACAAACAAAAATGTTCTATTCAGACACTGATTAAAATGCTTTTAAATGATTAAAAAAAAACTTACCATAAAAGGGGGTTGGGGGGGACACTAATCCTGATTTGTGACAGTTGCAGTTCATATTATTGAAAGTTCACATGCAAGTATTAGTCTATTACTTCATGGAACATAAAAACATAAAGTACAATAGGTTGAAATTTATTTTAGGATGACCTATTTATTTATAACAATTTAACTAGCAGAGGTAATACCACACTTACATACCTAAAGCTATCATGAAAGGAGGATACAGTAGGCAAAGATCCGTTCTGTAGGTATCATTCACTATCCTCCTATAGAAATGTAAATCATATAATTACTGAAAGCAGAACTACCTCATGTGTACATTTCCTCCCAGAGAGGGCCAGATTTCCCATCTTTGTACACACTTATTTCCCTTTTCTATTACTGAAGCACAGCTATAAAAGTAAAAACATCAAGGCAAAAGGATAGATACATGAATGTGACAACAAATAAGCACATATCAATGAATAAAACTACAGCTAAATATATTTTAAATGTCAAAACCTCATAATAAATTATAATATAAACACATTTGCATAGTTTTTCAAAAATCAGAAGATTAAATAAAAAACCAGAAATTATACGATGAACTTATATGTATGTTGAATACAACCAAAAGTATCTTATTTTAAAGATAACCTTAGTCTTAATTTTTATATTAACAGTCTGCTTTTCATACAAAATCAAATTTTAACAGCTATATTTATCAAATAGGTAACTTAAGATGCTTATCATTTTAGCATTTATACCACTATAGTTATTAAAATTCAACAAGCAGGTATTTTGCTTAATATAAAATATCTTGGGGCACTAGTTTAATGACTTTAAAAATACTAAACTTCATTTTTACTTGTCAACCTTCCTATCTAATAACATGTTACACTATTAATAACTTCTGTTCTAATTACCATGCAAGGGGAAGCAACATGTCTTCTTGGCCCATGTCCTGCACATACTGGAGCAAAGGTCTATAAGGATGATACACTATCAAGCAACAATCCTAGAAACAGTTTAAAAAATGTGTATGTATAAAAACAGATTTATTACAACACAAAAACGATATCATTACCCAACTGATTTGTGTATTCCAAAGTGAAGTTCTCTAACTCATGCTTGTTTCCCTTTTATTCTCTTAAGCAAGCAGTATGGTAGCCCTAACCTCTACTATGATAGTGAAGGCAGCGCTCTCTCTGGAATATACCTTGGTAAATCGGTTGGCAGTCAGTCAGCATCCATTCATTCCCTTAGAGACTCAAAGTGTCACATCTGCAACACACTGAAACCTCTTATTAGCCTATAAATCCATAATTCCCAACTGGAGGAGCAGAATTCTGCCAAAGACATGAGCTATCTTTAAATAACACTGTACACATACACAAATTGTGCACATAATTTACAGTGGTTTAATGTCCTGACCTGTTTGCTTATAATCCTTTTATTGTAGTTACTTACTATAGAATAGAAAAATGTTCCCATACTAAGTAGGATACACAAATTATTTTATGGGCTTCAGAGAGGATACAGGTGATAAGGTTACCAGGCTACTATGATTTCACCATCATGTAATCTCATGTGGATGGTTTTAAAATGTACCTCCCTATAAATCATTTCTTTAAATAATTTCTGACTTTACTAAATTTGAAAATGTTTTACTCTATTAATTGCAGAAAATATACTTACCATTAGTTCTAAAAGATAGAATTCACATTCTAATACCTGTTTAAAAAAAAAGATTATCAAATGTCAACAAGAAACCAAATTAGATGAGTCTACTTAATCTAACACAATTTATAGACATTATCATAATTTAGCACAAATTATAACTAAAATTTTAAATTAAGAAACTAAGTAGCTTATATTAAAATGAACATATGCAATAAAAAAATTACTTTTTATTATATAATACACACAATTATGATAATAAAGCATTTCAATCTTCATAAGGAAAAGCCAGTCTCTTATAAGCATTCTTTTTACTCATTCTTATTTAAAATATCCTGTAAAAACTTCCTTATTTTTCTACTCAACAAATGCAAGAATGCAATGATCTCTACTTAATTAAAAAAATACAACTTAAGTAGAATAAACAAATCCCTTGAATGGTGGAAAAAGAAAGATATGTCTATTAAAATATCAATGGAAATTCATCTTTAAAATATTTCATACGGTTCCATTAAAGTGGTTCTCAGCCCCAGCAGCACATTAGTATCACCTGGGAGCTTTTAGAAAGTGCCAATGCTGGGGAACCCCAAGCCTGAAAATTCTGAGTAAGGTGGTCTGGAAAGGATGCAACATCAGTAGTATTAAATAGTTCCCAACATGATTTAATGGGCAGCCAGAGTTGATAATAACTACTATGAAGTATTTTAAAAAATGGTAAAAGCTAGTTATCTTTAATTTAGAATAATGTCTATATTCTTGTAATATCTGAAATTGCCATTTCTAGGAGACTATTAAGTGTATTCTAATGCAAAATGTAGCTAGTTGATATATAGCTTTGACAAGGGTTTTATTTTATACACTATACTTACATGATTCATCCTATAAGGAAATTCCTTTGGAAAGGCATATGAAAATCTAGTTTTTACTGCAGAAAACAAAAAACAATTTTAACTAAGAAAATGAGAAAATGAATTAACCCAAAATTAGAATTTAACACAGTGTAGAATATTAGAGGGTAGAGCTACCCATTTTCAGCAGCTCTTGGCATTGTTTAGG